GAGCCTGTGCCTGGGCGTACTCACTGTTCAACTCACTCACTCTGACCTCCAGTGCTCACATGGGGAGGAACGGAACTGTCTGGCTTCAGGGCGAGGGCTGGAGAAGCAGCTTTCCCCCAGACAAAAGTCCAAGAAGGCACCTCTCCCACACAGACTGAAGGTGCAGGCAGGCACCATGTCTAAGTTTCCATCAACCTGGATGACACTGGTCACCCTGCCCTGGGGATTCCTTGAGATCCCATCACACCCAATTTGCAGGCCCACCCAAGTAGCTTCCAGTGGCTTTTTCATAAAAAGGGCCTGTCTTGGCTCATGCTGAAGTCTTTCTTAAAATCTCACAAAGGTTTACAAACCCCAAACAAACAGCATCTGGCCTGGGTGTGCCGCCTACCTCTTGCTAAGCAGTCCCAAGACTGGCACTAATGGCAGCCAGCCTCAGTTTGCAGCTCAGCCTCCCCCAGGCACCTCCAAGCCCAGAACAAGTAGCAACTATCTGCAGATCACTTTGCAGCTCTTACCAGGTGGCCCCAGGGCCGATAGGCATCAGCTGACCCTGGCCTGCACCAGAGGCCCCAGAACCAACATAACTGATGGTCAACTTAAGGCCACACCAGAGGACCACCCAACTACCTTCACAAATGACACAACCAAAGGGCAGTTTCAGTAGCCACCAGAGCATTGCTAAAGCAAAATCTTCTCTGTGGGGTCAGCCCCCCGAATAACAGCTCCTCCTCTATAGTCATGTCCAGTCCTCACAGCCAATCAATCTCAGAGTCAATCCCTTAGATTGACATATGAGAAAACAAACAAGGTTGAACAATACCAAAGGGGACCACACCCCACACAAGGAACAGACCTGGAGCACCTAGCTCAGGTGACTAGGGAAATTGGACCACTGGACCCCACAGGACACCTACTATATAAGTCCACTCTACCAGGAGGTGCAGCAGCTCTACCTAATACATAGAAACAAACACAGAGAGACAAACAAAATGAGAAAACAAAGAAACATGTCCCAAATGAAGGAAGAGAACAAAACTCCAGAAAAAGAACTAAACAAAATAAAGACGAAAAAAAAAAAAATCTACCAGATAAAGAGCTCAAATCACTGGTTATAAGAATGCTCAACGAACTTAGGGGAAGAGTGGATGAACTCAGTGAAAACTTTAACAAAGAGATGGTTAACATAAAATTGGAGATAGAAAACATAAAAGAACATCAGTCAGAAATAAAGAATACAATAACTGAAATGAGGTATATATTAGAGAATCTACAGTAAATTAGAAGACACAAAGGATCAAATTAGCAATTTTGAAGACAAGGTAGCAGAAAACACCCAATCAGAACACCAAAAAGAATCCCAAAAAATGAGCATAGTTTAAGGGATCACTGGAACAAATTAAGTGTACAAATATTCACATCTTAGGGGTAACAGAAGGAGAAGAGTAAGAGAGCAAATGACTGAAAATCTATTTGAAAAAATGATGATGTAAAAGTTCCCTAACCTGGTGAAGGAAATAGATGTAGTCCCAAACAAGATGAACCCAAAGAGGCCAACAAGAAGACATATCATAATTAAAATGCCAAAATTTAAAGACAAAGAAAGAATCTTAAAAGTCACAAGAGAAAAGCAGTTCGTTACCCACAAGGGAGCTCCCATTAGACTGTCAGCTGGTTCCTGAACAGAAACTTTGCAGGCCAGAAGGGATTGGGAAAGAACATTCAAAGTGATGAAAAGCAAGGACCTACAACTAAGATTACCTTACCCAGCAAAGCTATCATTTACAATTGAAGGACAGATAAAGAGCTTCCCAGACAAGAAAAAACTGAAGGAGTTATTCACCACCAAACCAGTATTACAAGAAATCCTAAAGGGACCTTTTTAAGAAGGCAAAAAATAAAAAAGGTAAAAAAAAGTGAATAATAGAGTAAAGACAGCCTCTTTAATAAATGGTGTTGAGAAAATTGGACAGCTACATGCAAAAAAATGAAACTAGACCACCAACTTACACCATACACAAGAATAAATTCAAAATGGATAAAAGACTTAAATGTGACCCATGAATCCATAAAAATCCTAGAAGAAAATGTAGACAACAAAATTTCAGACATCATATACAGAATTTTCACTGATACAATGCCTAAGGCAAGAGAAACAAATGAAAAAATGAACACATGGGACTACACCAAAATCAAAAGCTTCTGCACAGCAAAAGAAGTAACCATCAAAATGGAAAGGGAACTCACTGTATGGGAGAGCATAATTGCCAACGATAAGACAAAGAACCCAATTAAAAAATGGGCAGAGGACCTAAATAGACACCTGTCCAAACAGGACATACAAATGGCCAAGAGACATATGAAAAAATGCTCAACGTCACTAGCCATCAGAGAAATGCAAATTAAAACAATGATGAGGTGTCATCTCACACCTGCCAGAATGGCCACCATCAACAAATCATCAAACAAGTGCTGGCAAGGGTGTGGAGAAAAGGGGACTGTAGTACACTGCTGGTGGGAATGCAGACGGGTACAGCCACTATGGAAAACAGTATGGTGTTTCCTCAAAAAATTAAAAATTGATCTGCCATTTGACCCAGTGATCCCACTTCTAGGAATATACCCTAAGAAGCCTGAAACATCAATCAGAAAGAATATATGTACCCCTATCTATGTTCATAGAAGCACTATTTACAATTGCTAAGATCTGGAAACAGCCCAAGTGTCCATCAGTAGGTGAGTGGATAAGAAAGCTGTAGTACATACACACAATGGAATACTATGCAGCTGTAAGAAAGAGTGATCTCTTATCCTTTGAGATGACATGGAGGGAGCTGGAGAGCATTATGCTAAGCAAAATAAGCCAATCAGAGAAAGACAAATACTACATGATCTCACTTATTTGTGGAATATAATGAACAAAATAGACCCAGAGACATAGAAAGGAGTACAGTTCAGACCAACAGACCTCAGAGGACGGGGGTGGAGGGGATAGATGAGATAAACCACAGAACTTATATGCATGTATGCATAACCAATGGACATGGACAACAGTGCTGGGGGGCGGGGATGGGGAGGAGGATGTCTGGGGGGGAAAGGAGAAACATCTGTAACAAAAATAAATTAATAAAAATTGAAAAAAAAAAGAAACAAAACATTTGAATAAAATGGCAATAACTACATACCTATCAATAATTACTTTAAATGTAAATGGATTAAATGCTCTTATCAAAAGATATAGGGTGGATGAATAGGTAAGAAAAAAAGACCCCTAACATTCATATTCTGCCTCCAAGAGACCCACTTTAGATGGAAAGATACACATAAACTTAAAGTAAAGGGATGGAAAAAGGTGTTTCATGAAAATGAAAAAAAAAAAAACTGAGGTGGCAATACTTATTTCAGACAGAATAAACTTTAAAACAAAGGCTATAACAACAGACAAAGAAGCAATTCCACTTCTGGGTATTTATCCAAAGAAACCCAAACCACTCATTCAAAAGGACATATAGAGGGGAGAGATAAACCACAGAACTTATATGCATGTACACATAACCAATGGACACAGACAACAAAGCTGGGGACGGGGTTGGGGGGATGGGGAAGAGGGTGCCAATGGGGTAAAAAAGAAGATACATCTGTAACAAAAATAAAATTAAAAAAAAAAAAAAGGACATATATATCCCTAGGTTAATTTACAAGAACCAAGTTATGGAAGCAAATTAAGTGTCCACTGATAGATGAATGGACAAAGAAAAGGTGGTATGTATAGACATGGGATATTACTCAACCACAAAAAAAGAATGAAATCTTGCCCTTGCCAGTTTTCTCAGTGGTTAGAGCACTAGCCTGTGGACCAAAGGGTCACAGGTTCAATTCCCAGTCAAGGGCACACACCTGGGTTGCAGGTTTGATCCCTGGCCCTGAGGCCCCAGTCAGTGTCGTACGGGAGGCAACCAATTGATATATCTCTCTCACATCAATATTTTACCTTCTCTCTCCCTTCCTTCCTTCCACTCTCTCTAAAAATCAATGGAAAAATATCCTCAGGTGAAAATTAACAACAACAACAAAAGGAATGGAATCTTGCCATCCATGACAACATATATGGACCCAAAGGGTATTAAGGTAAGTGAAATAAGTCAGAGAAAAACAAATACCATACTATTTCATATATATGCGGAATCTGTAACACAGAAACAAACTCATAGATAGAATATTTTGGTGGTTGCCAGATGGGAGAGGGTTTGGAGGGAGATGGGTGAAGAAGAAGGAATTAAGAAGTGCAAATTGCCAGTTATAAAAACAATCACAGGGATGTAAAGTACAGCATAGGGAATATAGTAAATAATATTGTAATAACTATGTATGGTGTCAGATAGTACTAGCCTTACTGGGGTAATCACTTCATAAGTCACACAAATGTGTGATCACATTATGTTGTACACTTGAAACTAATAATAGTGTGTGTTAACTGCAACTGAAAAATAAAGTTCTTTTTTTAAAATGACTTAAAGAAAAATCTTTCACTGGCTCTGAATAGTAAAGATTTTTTTTATTGAACATAATATTGCTTTTGAACAAAAAACATGTTTATCACAAAGCTATAGATATTCATTCAAGGGTTTTAATATAATCATTTCTACGATTATTGATTCTTTTCCTTAATACTGGTCTTTGCATCTTCTGATGGCAGTCCCATTTAGCTAGAACCTATGTTCCCTCATACAGACTCTGTGAAACATTAAAATTTTTTCCAGCTGTTTAAATTCTGATTCCTTTTTTCACTTCCTTCCAAAGGAATGAGCAGTCTGTTAGTGTGAGTTGAACGCAGAGAGTATTTTCAACGCTAATCCGTGAATTTCACCTATGAGAGTAGTGAAACTGGCAAACACGTGTAATCTCCTCCAGACATTCTCCGGCGCTAATGAGCTCTCATTTTGTCACAACTGCCGGTAAACACAGCAAAGTCTCAACTTTTTACCTATGTGTACACTTACCAAAAATGTTGTTGAGGCAGCAGAGATGGAAGGTATGTAATTTTCAGTCCAAGAGCTTGAATTATGACTCCACATGCTAAAACAAGTTATTGACAGCTCTTTTCTCAGCTTCCTAATGTGTAAAATGGAGGTAACACTAAAATAAGGAATTGTAAGAATTAAATGATACAAAGTGAGTGGCTTAGAGCTTGGGCTCTGGTAAATGCTGAAATAATGTTAGCTGCTCCTATGCCCACAGCTATTCTAAGAGCTACAAGACCTTTATCCAACATCCATGTGTCCATCTCACAATTCCGTCCCCTCCTGAATACAGGAATTAGAAGCCAGAGTTGTGTTCTGGGGGTGGTATCACGTTGCCCACTTTAGAAAGCAACAGTACAAAAATCTGAAAACAAAATGAATTAAGCTAATGTAGGTGCTCCCTTTCCCACTACAAACACTAAAATGCTGAATAAATTGTAATCATTTTTAGAAAATACTTAGGGAAGGATAAAAGCAGAGACAGCAGCAACAAAAACAATAATGAAGGAATGCTTTCCGTTTCCAAGAATGAAGAAACAAATTGAAGTCAGATGGATATACTGGAACTGAAGCTGAAGAGGCCCAGAGGGTTTTGATCTTGGATAAAGGGTCTGGAATAACTTTTCTGTCCCCACATGACTGTTAGGAGACATGACCTCAGGACTAGGGGAGGTAGGAGCCTGGAAGTGAAACTCCTACGAAAAACCGAGGGCTTCCAAGAGCTATACTATTTATCTGTATAAAAGGGCCTGCAAGAAGTATATCCAGCAGCCCTGGGAAGAAACTATATGGAATTGTGGTGACTACAAAATAAAAATGTATATAAAACTATCCAGCCTTGGTTGGCTTGGCTCAATGGTTGAAATGTCAGCCTGCAGACCAGAGAGACCCAAGTTTGGTTCTTGCTAAGGACACGTACCTCGGTTGCAGTTTGTCCCCGGCCCCAGCTGGGGTTGCGTGGGTGGCGACCACTCAATGTGTCTCTCTCACATCAATGTTTCTCTCTCTCTCTGCCCCCTCTCTCTCTCCTGCTCTTTCTGAAGATAAATGCAAAAAATGTCCTCAGGTAAGGATAAAAAAAAAAAACTATCCAGGATCACAACTTCTGGCCTTCAGTAATGGTGGAGGTGATATTCCTATTAGATCAGCCATCCCACAGATAACAACTATGAATTCTGGACAAAATATAAAAAATAATTGACTAAAGAATGATCAAAAGCAAGCAGAAACTAGAAGGGAATATTTGGAAGAAAGAAATGTCACTGTTTTTGTCCAAGGGCAGACCCAATTCATGCTGAATCGGGTGACTAAAACTCAGAGAGAAAACCCATAATCTTACTGGCTTGAAGAACCACAGAATAGGCTTTGTGGCAATCACAACACCTGGAAAGTGAAGTGGGAAGTCCTGAAAAGAAGAGAGCCACACACGGGGAGTGTAAAATTCTTCATAGGCTAAACTTTGAATCATGAAGGCAAGGGGTACACTGCATGGAAACTCAGATAGCACTAAAATTACTTCAATAGAGATTTCTGCTCTTGCCCACCACAAGTAATATAGAGTTTATAGTATGAATCCAGCCAAGTTAACTGCCTACTTTTAAAAAATCCACAACTCACACAAACTCTTGAAAGAAACATAACTTTATCCAGAGTTTCTGCAATATACTAGTCACATATTACCTAAACTTATTAGACATAGAAGAAACAGAAACATGTGCTATGTTCTGAAGAGAAATGGCTATGGGTGGAGACCCATTCTGACACGGAAATTAGTATCTAACAAGGATTTTTAAAGCAACTATTATAATATGTTCAAGGATACAAAGTAAATGCTTCTGGTGAACGAACAAATAGAGAATCTCAACAGAAAAAAAGATTCACTAGACAACCTTACCATCAAAATGGCAATGGCAGAAAAAGCCAGTGAACTTGAAGACAGAATAGAAACGATCCAATCAGAAGAACAAAGGGGAAGACAGATTTCTTAAAAATGAACAGAGCCTCAATGACCTATGCACCAATATCAAAAGATCAAACATTCATGTAATTTGAGTCCCAGGAGGATAGGCTAGAAAGCAAATAAGATAGGAAAAAAAAAACTTGAAGAAATAATGCCCAAAAAAGCTTATCCTATTTGGTGAATGAATTTACAAACTGAAGAAGTTTGGTAAATCCCAAACAGGAATAAATACAGAGAAAATTATAATTAGTCACATTAAAGTCAAGCTGCTGAAGTATAAAGAAAAGAGAAAATCTTAAAATTAGCCAGACAAAAATGACTTAGTACATTCTAATGACCATTAAACTCTCATCAGAAATAAAGGTCACAAGACAGTGAAACAACATCCTGAAATTCAACAAATGTGAAACTGAATAAATAAATATATGTTGTTTTTCCCAAACTGATCTACTAATTCAAATTTGATTTCCCTTACTGTCAACAGAGGGCATACACAAACGTTAGCCATGCCTAGGGATTAATTCAACATCCAGTGAAAAGATAAAGTTAAGTGGGCACATACTGGAACTAAAAGTAAATGTGGCCTCTTTTGAGACAATTAAATTAACTTTCCAAGTAGGGCCTTAATGCTCCATGGCTCTAATCTACAAAGCTGGGGTTTCCATCACTAATGGTAGTGATGCCCAGCTAAGGGGAAAACAGTCATCAAAACTGAAGTTATATTTCCTTTCGCCTTCCTGGAAGAGCTACTAAAATTGCTTCAATTAAACTTTTAAAACAAAAGGGTCTTAATATATTCATTTCAAAATGTCCCCTCCTTAGCACTGGGTAATCTAACTCTTCAAGTTAGGAAGTCCCTTTCCTTATTCCAAGAATCCATGCATTTAAAATATAATGAAGCTCATTTCACAAGTCCCTCAAAATACAGAAGCACAGATAATAATAAATACTATTAAAATTATAACGAGCACATAGCATTTTACTTCTTTACCACGTTCTCCTAGACTTGATCTCATTTGACCTTCAGAATACTCAATAAAGAAGGTATTACTGTCATTCCACAGCAGAGGTGAGCAAGCTGAGGCCCAGAGAGAAAAGGAGAGGGATCCTGTGCCAGGTCATTTGGTTCTGGTGTGCAATGGGGTCAGGGCTCAGACCCAAGTCTTCGTGAAATGAAGGAGAACAGATATTTCAGACTAAAAGCAGATACATAGCCTTCCTATTATGGAAACACCTGAGCCACTGGCCCCCGCTGTGACCTGGACCTAGGTTAAGGGGTAGTGGAGTGGAGTCGTACGACTACCTGAGATTTCATCTCTGTTCTCCCACTTACTAGCTGTGTGAATCTAGACTTAACCTCTCTGTGGCTCAATTTCCTGATCTATAAAGTGGGAAGAGTAATGCCTCATTGGTTGTGAGGATTAACTTGGTTAACATATAAAATGCTAAAAATAATACCTGGCCCAAACTAAGTACTATATACATGTTAGCTGTGACTACTATAAATTGGCCTTCTTACTTTTAAAAAGCAAAACAAAGTATATAGTGAAGCCAAGAAGTTCAAGACTCTAAGAAATACTTGTGAGACCAGTGCCCTATTTAAATTCTACTGGTGGTAGTAGTTTTCAATAGCCATTTGAAAAAAAATGAGTAGTTTTTTATTTCCTTAAGCAAAAAAGTACAAATGTCCCTTTCTTTCAACAACCTTCTTTAATTTCTTCTTTTTACTTAGATTGGTTCCTTATATACTTCTTGATTTAAGATTCATATGTTTCTCCCTAGACCTATTCTTGTAATACTTATGCTACTAACAAAAGTATTTATACTATGAACTTACCATTCCTTATTTCATAGTTTCACTTACAAAAATTTTATGGGAAATTTTTACCAACTTTATAATATATCATAGTACTATAGAAAATGACAACCAACCATCTGTACATTATCTCAAGATTTCACACTCATTGGAACAGACCGTGAGTACCCACCGGGGTAAGAACATGGGTTCTTAATCCTGGCTTTGCCATCTTATTAGTCTTATAACTAGTAGCCTCTTGCTTTACTTACATTACCCTTGGCCTCTCTGCGCCTCAGATTGCTCACCTGTAAAGTGAGGCTAACCTTATCGAATAAGATGGTAGTATACTGCATGTAAAGTACTCAACACAGAACCTGACACAAAGTAAGAACTCAATGTACAGTTGATAATATAAATATTATGGTTACTATTAGTATCACCAATTGGAAAGGTACGGCAATCATCAAACACTGATACTCTAGCCAAATGAAGAAGTGAAAATATAAAACATTGGTAACAGACATATTTACTGAATGGCAAACTAACTGTGAAAAGAAGGAAGCTCAATGCATTTGTCATTCCTTTTGCCTCCATCACACGAATCCAACATTTTTTGCTAAAGTGAAGTTATCCGTTGGCATCTCTTTCACTCTTACTGAGCTGTGAGCTCCTTGGGAACCCAGAATGACCATGTGTTGAACTTATGTCCAGACTCTCCAATCTCATCCCCATGACTAGCACCCCAGCCCACGTTCTCCTCGAGCCTGGATGCAGCCTCCTAATTCCCCTGACCTCGGCACCTCAGGGCTTCACGCTCCTTGTCATCTCTGAAAGAAATCGGGTCTGACCTACCTCAGCGCCTTAACATTTGTTGAGAAGAAATTAATTAAATGAAGAAAGTGAATCACACCCTCAGTGGGCACTGTTATTGTGTGTGTGTGTGTGTGTGTGTGTGTGTGTATGTGTGTGTCTGAGAAGAGGTAGAAGCTAATGCAATTCAATTCAATATGTATGGCACATGTTCTTGGTGGCAGACACTGGGTAAGAACTGAGGATACAATCTTTAGACTGAAGAAACCAGAAAACAACATCTGGTCAGTCACATCTATGACAAGTGATAATCTCAGTATTCGCTTGATCCAGCCCCTCCAACGCACCGAGAAGACAGGCCCAGGACCACCCAGAGAAAGCAGAGGCGAGACCAGAACTCTTTCACACCCTGCATGCTCACACACGTCTGTTTCAGCAGCAGATTTTCCCCATCTAATGCAGCTTTGGACCACATCCAAAATGTGTAAGAAGGACGACCGGACAGGCAGGATAAACCACTTTTGTTTCAGCTGCAGCCAGACTCTGCTCAGGAGGTGTGGACAGCCCGCCAGCCTCACTGGAAAATAACTCGTTGGTTCTTGCGCAAGAAACTGCCACTCCCAGGAATGCGACTAAGGGACAGAGCTATTCTAGTGACACCTGACTGTGACAGCTGGACTGCATCGATGATAACAAAAGTAGCAAGCTGAAAGACATCCTGGCAAGTTTCAGTGAACTGGAGAGAGGCAGAACGTAGCCGCCAGACTGGCAAGTCCGCTTGCTTTCCAGTCAGGCTGCGCGGTGGGGTTTCTCAAGTGACTCAGGGTGACAGAAAACCACTCAACAGGTATTTACTGAGCAACCACAATGTGCTGAGCACCGTGCTAGGCTCTGGGGATACAAAACAACCTCATGCGTTTATGGCATCGTGAAAGGGGTTTTAAGGAAGGAGTTCTCTCATTGCCCTCTCCTTACCCGGCGTATCTGCTCCTTCCCCAACAAAACTGAGAGGGCTGCTCCTCCCACTTCTCCTGTCTCCCATCCGTGTGCCTCCAACCCTCCTCCCAACCCTCCATTCATCAACTCCCTCATCAACCTCTCTTGCTCTAGTGGTTTTTACCTATTACCATTAAAACAACCTCAAGCATCTCAGTTATATGTATGATCCCCTCTACCATTCACTTCTCTCTCTCTCTTCATAGTCACGCTTTGGAGGGTATCATGTTTCTTTGCTCAGATGGACTAACCATGCTCTCTGACCTCTCAGCCTTCTAACAGGCTGCTCCCTCTCAGCTTTGCCTTCCTCCGACTTCCTTCTTTGTCTAATTAATGCCTATCATTCATTCAGATTTGTCTCGGGGCCACCTCCTCCAGGAAGTCTCCCAGGCTGGTTTAGGTGCCTCTCCTCAGTGCTTGTATAGCATCTAGTAAGTTCATTGAAAACATTCCTTTCCATTTGGCCTCTGTCTCTAGAAGGCTCTCAGTTCCCCAAAGGGAGAGGTCATCTCTAAATCCTTAATTCCTAATGACTACTGAGCTCTCAGTAACTGTGGACCAAATGAGAAATGAAAAAATATGAATAAGTCCTAGAAAATCTCACAGTATGGACAAAACAGGGAACATGTGCATAATGCTTTCCAGATTACACAACATTTTTCACATGTACATTTTATTTGATTTCCCTAATCCTATGAAACAAACAGCATTATTTTTAATCCTCTTTTCAGCTGAAGCAGCAATGATTCAAATGATTACGAGGTCTGACCACGGTCCTACTGTGGGAGAGTTGGTCTGAGACTCAGATTCTGACCCTGAACTTCACATTCCCTGCATTCTCCATTCCCTCCTAGGTCCTCTCTCCCTATTCAGATGCATAAAATACTCCATAAACTCTCTGCGTCGAAACCTGGTATCTGGAAACTAGTCTGCTCGCCTTGTGCCCAACCAAACTACTTATTAGAAGGAACATGAATGAATTTTGCCAAAGGAAGTAAATCTAGCAAAGCAAACAGTACAGCCAGGACAGAGATCCCACTTCCACCTTCCTTCGGTGTTTGGAAGAACATAAATTAGACACTCCCACCAAACCTGCCAAATGTCTTAAAAACAGGGCTCGTGGAGAAATGGCTGCAGATCTTCCTTATGACTCACTCATTATTTTTATTTATTTATTTATTTTTATTTTTCTTTATTGATTTTAGAGAGAGAGAAACATTGACGAGAGAGAACATTGACTGGCCGCCTCCTGCATGCCCCCAACTGGGGATTTGCCTTATAACCTGGGCATGTGCCCTGACTGGGAATTGAACCAGCAACCTCTTGGTGCATGGGTCGACGCTCAGCCATTGTGCCACACAGGCTGGGTGACTCACTCATTATTAAAACCAGAATTCACCATTCTATCTGGTGGAAGAGCAGTGAAAACAGCTTTTATCCGAGAACACCTTTGATAGGCAGCAGCTACTGAATCTCCAGCCAGCTGTTAATACTCCCGCAGCCCCTCCAGGCCTCACGCCCGTTCACCCAGCTGACAGCACATGTTCCATCACTCTAAGTCCTCTTGTCCCATTGTCCTTACACTGCAGTCATCCGGAAAAACTCAGTCCCGGGATAATCCAACAATCTGTCTTCTTGGCTCCAGGTTTCAAAACACAAATGCAGAAAAAGCATTCAGCTGTGTGGACTTGTGTTTATGGACTCCAATCTCCACTGAGCCTGTCCAGCCATTTCTCTCACCCCCTTTTCAATGCCAATTTCTTAAGAAAGTTGTCTGCTTCCTTTGTATAGTTCATCATTCCTCCCTCATTCCTCAACCCACTACAACTGGCTTCTACCTCTACGCTCGACCAGCGTTACCAAAGTGTATAACCTTTGAACATTGTGCAATCCCTCCCCGATCTTATCTCCCATAAACCTTTCTGTTGCATAACTCCATTCTTCTTAAAAGTCTCTTCTCTTGCCTTTCATGTTTCCACACTCGTCTAGTTTTCCTACTCTCTCTCCGGCCACTGAGATGGAATCTTGGTTGAAGCTGTTCTCCTGCTCAACATGTACATGCTAACATTCTTCAGGGTCCTAGGATCATTCTTCCCACTCTGCCCGCCTCTCAGGGTGATCTCATTCACTCGACTGGTTACAGCCTGTGCAGATGTTTCCTTTCCTTGGTGTTCCTGTGGCTCCCAGGTGATATCACCATTGCGTATACTCCCTTCTACTTGGCTTCTGTCTCCCCTAAAAGGCTAGGCGCTCCCTGAAGGCAGAGGCCATCTCTGAATTCCCAGTCACTAGTAGCTACTGGGCTTTCAGTCACTCTTTCCAGCCTTGTTCTTCTCCCCAAGCTTCAGATCTATACAGCCAACAGCCTGTGAACTTCCCCACTGGGCACACTTAATATGCTCAAAGTAGAATTCATCATCTTTCAAAGTCCAAAATTTTTCCTCTTCCTGTGTTTCCTTCCTGAATTCATTGAAACCATCATCTACCCAGCTGCATGAACCAAATCCTGGAACTCATCCTTAGCAATTGCCTTTCCTAATTCTCTCTATCCAGTCAATTAATAAGTCCTGCCAAATTCTAAATAGCTCTTCAATATGACCAGTATATTTTTTCTCCAGAGCCATAGCAGGTTTAAGGAAACGAACAAATGAAGAAAGTGGAGGATAGCTGGGCACAGGGTAACGGGCAGGTGCTGGGAAGGCATTCTGACTTTAACTCAGCCTCCACTCACCACCTCCCATCCCTGCTCTTGATGCTGGGGCCTGGAGCTACAAAGCATTCAATGATGGTAAGTGTGAGCTGCCCAGAATAGGATTTTGTAAAATAAGTCACATGACTTTCGATTGGTTATTTTCTTATAATCCAGCTAAACAATGGTGTTCTTTCACAAATAAAAAAGATACGGGGCTCAAAATTAAACCGGCGCTGGTCTCTTTGTCAAGTCACCACGGTGAACGGCGCGCCCCAGAGGAAGTAAGGTGGTGACGGCGCCATCAGAGTTCAGTTCTGTCACACTAGGGAAACAAGGCAATATTTCAGGTAAAAAAGCCAAACTGGGTATTTGTGGAGGATGAAGGTTAGGGAGAAGGAAGGAGAGAGGAGAAGGAGAAACATGCCAGGCTTATTAACACATGGCATAGTTGACAGATATTGATTCATCATTAAAACAGCACTACTATCAAGTTAATAAAAAGCCACAATGTAATCAAGAAGTGCCTTGTAGCTTCTAAGAGTTCATTGTCATGGCACCTATATTTACCAAAAACTGTTAAGTTGTAACAAAAGTCATTCAAGGAATGGTAATATGGAGGGATTTGGGCATACACAGTAGAAAGAGACAAGAAAAATGTACTGGAAAAAATCTGCAAAGACAATTCTGTGATTAAACTAAAATCTTTGAATTGTACACTTTAAATGGGCGAATTTTATGGTTTGTAAATTATATCGCAAGGAAGCTGTTTTTTTAAAAAAAATTTGCAAAGACACAGGAATAATGAGCAGAGTTACAAAAAAACCAATCAACATATGTCAATACTCGAAGGAAGAACAGGTAATTTTCTTTGTTCCCACAGAATAACCAGTGGCAAAAATCACTTTCACGTTTCTTATTACAAAAATAGACACACACAAAACAAAACAAGAAAAAATACATTGTCAAAATATTTAAAGAACACAATCTGTCAGTGCCTACATTGAATATTGCTTTAATTTCACTGTTTTCACTGTCTGAAGGCTCTGCTCAGTGAGATTATTATGTTTTTACAAACACAACATCACACTGGGGAGTTTTCACCAAGCTAGTATCTTTTTAAAAAAATTATAAAAGTATGTATCACAAAGAGAACTATTGTAAGCTTTAAAAAAATAATAAAAAGCATGCAAGTCTTAATAACTAGAGAAATAATTAGATAAAGAAAAGCTGATTTTGGGTCAGTGGCCATTTCCTTTTCAAGACAGGATTCCAAAGAAAAGTAAAAAGATAGATGAAACCTAGAAACACCCAGCTCCTTACAGGTACACACACGTTTGTGCTGTTCTTGTTGGAAAAGAGTCAAGGTGAAAAATTTTTACGAAGTTATTAGAAAAACACGTAAGTGCATGCAAAGGCAGAGTTCTTTGAGGTAGATGCCAAAGTGGAAGGCAGGTGTATGCTCAGAATTTGATCCACCAGAATAGAAATTGATTATGCCTATCCTTTGATACCACTTAATTCTGGTTGATCAAGCAAAACAATTCAGCTGATAAGAAACAAAACAAGCCCTGACTGGTTTGGCTCAGCAGTTAGATCAAAGAGTCTCGGGTTCTATTCCAGTCAAGGGCAAGTATTTTGGTTGCAGTTTGGTCCCTAAGGCAACCAATCAATATGCCTCTCTCACATCAATGTTTCTTTCTTTCTCTCTCCCCCTCCCACTCTATCTGAAGATAAATGGAAAAATATCATCAGGTGAGGATTTAAAAAAAGAAGAAGAAATGAAACAAATACCTATCCTTTAATTTTTATCCTGAGATAACTCACACAAACCCAAGAAGCCATAACTCACTTTTGGTTTTAAAGGTTAGAACACATTAAATCCACAGTGACTCAGCATATGGGTTTCACATGATTCAAGTTGTCTGAAAGCAGGTTTGCATGATATGACTACACAACATTAAGAACAGCCAAAGAGCATGTAGAAAGAAGTAGGCAGGAAGGGCCCTGCCCTTGGAGTTTAAAGTTTTAGATCTAGTCCTGGCCGGTTTGGCTCAGCGGTTAGAGCATCAGCCCACGGACCAGAGAGTTGTGGGTTCGATTCTGGTTGAGGGCATGTACCTCGGTTGCAGTTCATCCTCTGCCCTGGTCGGGGTTGTGCGAGAGGCAACCAATCCATGTGTCTCTCTCACGTTGATGTTTCTCCCTCCCCACCCCCCATCTGAAGATAAAATGGAAAAATCCTCGAGTGAGAATCAAAAAAAAAAAAAGTTTTAGATCTAATCTCAACTCCTGGGAACCACCCTCCACCACCACCAAACAAACCAATTCAAACCCTATTGAAATTTAAGAGTTGCCTTTAATCTTTGCCTACCTACCTTAACATGCCAGGCATGCAGTTGGTATTCAACAAATGCTTTCTAGCTAACGTTTAGCAAGTAGTTACTAAATACTTTATATGTATTATATCATGTCATCATCACAGTAACCTTATAAAGTAGGTTTTTATATTAGCTACATGTCACAAATTCAGAAACTAAAGTTTAGAGAGATTAGTAATGTGCCCATGTGAGTCAACTGCTGGGTGGTAGAGAGAGGATCGCAGGGCTCAAGGTCCTTAATCCATGTGCACTGCTGCCTCTCTGAACTCAAATGGGCACCAAAGGAACCACGGTCATCAATGAACATGTGGGGCTTTACTTCATCGCTCACCTTTCCCCCACCTGTCTCCCTAGTCGCACTGACAGTAAAAAACCTTGAGATCCTTGTTACTCAAAGTGTGGTCCATCATACAAATGGCCAAGAGACATATGAAGAAATGCTCAACATCACTAATCATCAGAGAGATGCAAATTAAAACAATGAGGTATCACCTCACACCTGTCAGAATGGCCACCATCAACAAATCATCCAACAACAAGTGTTGGCGAGGGTGTGGAGAAAAGGGGACTCTCTAGTACACTGCTGGTGGGAATGCAGACTGGTGCAGCCACTGTGGAAAACAATATGGTGTTATCTCAAAAAATTAAAAATTGAACTTCCATTTGACCCGGTGATCCCACTTCTAGGAATACACCCTAAGAAGCCTGAAACACCAATCAGAAAGAATGTATGTACCACCATGTTCACAGCAGCACTATTTACAATAGCTAAGATCTGAAAACAGCCCAAGTGTCCATCAGTAGACAAATGGATAAAAAAGCAGTGGTACATATACACAATGGAGTACTATGCAGCTGGAAGAAAGAAAGATCTCTTATCCTTTGAGATGACATGGGGGGACCTGGAAAGTATTATTTTAAGCAAAACAAGCCAAACAGAGAAAGACAAGTATCATATGATGTCACTTATTTGTGGAATATAATGAACATAACAGTCCGAGGAATAGGGTAGTCCCAGAGACGTGGAAGTGGAGTACAGAAGAGGGTGTGGTGGGGGAGAGATAAACCACAGAACTTATATGCATGTATGCATGACCAATGGACATGGACAACAAAGCTGGGGACAGGGCGGGGAGGGAGGAGGAGGGAGGAATGGGGGGGGGGGGGGACATCTGTAACAAAAATAAATTAATTAATTTAAAAATAAAATCAAAGTTTGGTCCATGGACCAGAAGCTTGCTGGAAGCTTGTTGGCAATGCAGAGCTTTGGCCATACTGCAGGATCAGAAGCCGCATTTCATCGACATAACCCAGTTGACGCATATGGACGTCTATTGGAAGGGCACTGGTTTAGACTAGCTCCGAAATGAAACATTTGCTTTAATGGCAAGAAGAAAGAAGATCTGAGAAGGAAAATATGACAGAAGTGTTAGACTTGGTGAGAACAAAACCAGCTTGCTATGGCTGTATCAGGACCTTACTCTGCCTGAATAATGGCACACAGAAACAATAAAGGACCTGAGCACAGAGGCAGTAGCTGAAACTAGAGAGAGTGTACCTACTCTTCCTCTCCCTTCCCAAACTTCCAAACCTGTGTCTTCGGAAGCATGCATCATGAAGCACATAAAAATATACTGCCTTCGGCAAATACTGAATTCCACCGGGCAAAGAGCAGAGCTGTGCTATGGGTTGATAAAACTCGAGATCTGTAATATCTACCACCTTCGTTCACAACCCAGGAGTCACCTCTTATCAAGGTACCTTTATCCTTTTGAGCATTAATACACTTTTAAAGCACAATACAACACTAAAGCAAACTTAAATTTGAGTCTAAACTTGAGCTATTTTAATATGGTTTGTGGTTTTCTTTTTAAGTAACACACCTACATTTTGAGACAGAAAAGTGGTCTTTAACCAAGAAAGGCAGGACGGTGACCAATGAGTCAGAGTCTAAAGAAGCATCTGGGGAAGTTCACTCTTACTCATCCTTTACCTGTTAAACAGGGTTATGAAACCTAACAACTTTTCAAAGCCATGCATGTAACTGAGTGTGGTCTTAGTAGAAGGTAAGATGTATATTTGACTTTTTCCTTTATTCCCATTTAAAAAATAAAATACATGTACTTCTTAGTTGCAATTCTATACCCCCTGGAGCTAAGAGAATACACTGTACACTATACATGGGTGGAAATTCTCTTCCTCAGCTCTATCCTTTTGTCATTTGATTTTTTTTTTCTTTATTGATTTTAGAGAGAGGAAGGTGAGGGAGAGAGAGATAGAAACATCAATGAGAGAGAGCACCAACAACCTCCTGCATGGCCCCCACCGGGGATCTGGCCCACAACCTGGGCATGTGTCCTGACCGGGAATCAAACCGGCGACTTCATGGTGCACGGGTGGACGCTCAATCACTGAGCCACACCAGCCGGGCAATCCTTTTGTCATTTGAAGTCTACTAGGCAGGTTCCTCTCCTTAAAGCCTTCAATTATACACTCTTGACACTTTCTGCCTCCTCCCTGTCTTCATCTAGACGCTAGAGAGAACTAGAACAATTAGAATGGGTTTCTTGCTAATTAATCATCTATGTGTCTCCCAGAAGGTGTGCCTTCAACCACAATGGATCTAAAAAAAGAACTGCTTTTAATTCTCTATCCACTTATTCTGTTACTGTCATGAGTCAGCCTCTGGGTTCAGAGATGTTCAATAAACTGCATCCAGTCACTCGGATTTTTACAATAAAGGAAAGAAGAAAGACGTGCGCATGCTCAGAAGGCAAGTGGAAGCAGAGCCAAGTTTAGGGCAGTGCGGCCCCAAGGCCGAGTCCAGAGGCCACAGAAACAGGAGGCGTATATTACCTGCAAAGGAGCAATGACAGGGTAACGCGCAGGCCTGGGTCAGCCCAAGATGGGGGCTTCCGGGGGGCCGAGGAATGCCAGATGAGAA